TTAATAGATTTGGAAAAAGACTAGCCTTTTTTTCCAGATTGTAATAATTAGGTAATGGTGTTGTGCACAATTTTAAAGGAACGACATTAAATTAATCTACTTTGGAATAAGCATGAAGCATCATAAAATGTGGAAAATGTGAAATGATATGATTTCTTATCAAATGCATTAGTTTTTGTCAAATCAAGTTTTTGTTACTGTTATATTGAGGAATCTGGCTTAAGGCTACAAACCCATAATCCAGATGTTAAGAGATTTAGAAAATGACATAAGATTTTTTTTTTTAAATACTTTTTATATAAAAAAAAGGACTGTTTTTGTAAACCAGAAAGTACATCCATACAGAATAAGGTCTTAGGACTTGGTCCTGGCTGTTTTTGTGTGAATGTGGCACTGCTCAGGTCTTGTGGAAGCCCACGTTGCTTTAATAAGGCCCTTCAGCTCATCTGCATGCATATGCTTCTTAACAATACTCCAGACATGGAGATTAGGTAATGAAGGTTTTCTGTCCAACCAAGCAGTGATACCAAGACTAATAAAGCAATCATTGGTGCTTTTGGCAGTGTGGGCAGATGCTTTACAACTGAAGGTTTTCTTATACTGACTTTGGACTTGATAAAGCTCGGTGGACCAACAGCAACAGATGACGTGGCTCCCCAAATCATCAATGACTGTGGAAATGTTCCATTGAACCTCAAGTTGCCTGGTTTCTGCGCCTCACACTTCCTCAAGATACTTGGAACCTTCATTTCAAATGAAATGCAACATTTAAGTAACTTAATTAAAAGGTTGAAACTTTTGCAGTTTATTAAACACAAAGTGAGACATTTCAAATGTTTCGATTTGTTAAACTCATTGATTATGGTTTACATTTGTAAAGACTCAAATTCTGTTTCACTAAAATTTTGTAATATTGCTAAAATAACAGCAAGTAGATTAATTTTCAAATAAATTGCATAATTCTGAAAACAAGACTGTCCACTGAACAATTGTGCTCAGAGCCCATTCTTATCTGAATTGAGCTAGATATTCAACAACTTTAGCCCATCTATTAGATACATCTGTGCATGGTGGCATACTTTTTCCTTCCGCTCAACTTTCCAATGATATACTTAAATGCCCTCTTTGACTAATACCCTCATTGTGAAGGGCATGGACTGTCAAGCCAATAATCTTCCTCATGATTGTGTAAGTCATGATATTTCTGTGTGTATTATGCAAATGAACTGAAGTCTGGGATTCCACAATCACGTGAAAATAAACACTTAAAAGATATTGCTATTTGACTCATAATCTTGAGTTCCCCAAAGAATGACTGAAATATCTTAGCATTTCATTTGTGTTTTAATTCCTTAAGGTGTGACTTTATCTTGCGTTTTCATATCAGTCAAACTGCATTCAGAAAACATAAGATTATCTTCACCTCGAATAGCTTCTGGGACACAGGGAGAAGAATCAGTGTTTGCATGTAGGCAAAGAGCTTCTTCTCATGTTAAATTCCACTTTTCTGCACCCAGCTGACATTTTACTTTTGTTGACATCTCAAGCACAAACGCACACATCTCTGTCCTCCTCCATACATCCCCCTTTCACTCTCTTCCAGCGCATAATTCTCTTCGAGAAAAAAAAAAAAAAGTTTGAACTGGCTCACCTTAAAAACACTTGTTTTTTTGTTTTTTCGGGTTATTATCGCTGCCCGGGGCCTCTCTCTGCTGCTTCACCCCAGCTGCACTCCTGCCCTCAGGCTGCGGTGGCTGTCCAGAGGGAAGGGGGAGAGAAAGTAAACTAGGCTCACCGTGCTTCGGTCTCATTGGCTGACTCTCTGCCTGGCAGATTTTGTCCTTGAGAATGTGCAGACACGGAGCAGATAATGTTCTGACACCAGAAACTCTAGAGCGGGACCAGATCGACACTTACTCCCTGCTTCTCCTGCTTCCACTGTAACACAATCGGGGTTATGCGGACCGAGGAGCGACATACGCGTTGTGTTTTTATTGGACGGTTTTCACTTCTTGTGCAGCACCTGTGCTGTTTTAAGTCAAATTAAGAAGATTATTTTTATGAGAGTATGTCGGAGCGGGGATTGGATTGGTTATGTAAAGACACTTGTCAGTAATTGTGTCACTAAATGGGAATAAATAAATAAATAAAATAAAATCACACGGAGTGCGCACATGAGTTATTGTGCAGCTGCGGGTAATAAGCGGCATGGTCGGACTCTTTAGCCCAAAAGAAAAGAAAAAAAAAGTCAAAATTGTGCAAGAAGGAGCTGAACTTTCTCTATAAGTGTATTCAAATGCATGCAACGGCGAAGGTGAAAATTATTTTCCTGCTTTAATGTAAATCTGAGGTTTGCTTCCCTTTCTCTGGTGTGTTGCAAGGTCAAAGATCTCCTTTTACCGAGCGCGCCTCCGACGACGGGCTTTCTGTAGGAGTCAGCAGCATGCAGGCGGAGCAGCAGGTACAGGAATCTCCCTGCAGCAGCGGCCCATAGCATGAACTGACAGACCCCGGTGATCCAATCCCTGCAGACCAGCGGGCTTCGAGCCAAAGTTTGCACATCACTGTCACATCAGGAGATGCAATATCAAGCAAAGATAAACATGCAAATAAAGAGAGATTGAGAATCCCACAAATCAGCTCAGTCGACAGGTTCCTTTTTTTTTTTTTTTTTTTTTTTTTTTTTTTTTAATGTGGTTTATCTTGAACATGATTGGAAAAGTATCCTAATTTATTACTGGTCGGATTTGTTGCAGTCGAGAGACATTCTCCGTGAATTAATTTGTTGGCAGACCAGAAAAAAAAAAAAGTTTGAGATCACAATTGCCATTTCAATGACTTTAATAAGCAAAATATGAAACTTTTATTTTTCCAAAAACAACAACAAAAGGACAAAACAGAAACCAGCCTGAATGCAACAGTTCAATTTTTTTAAGTGTTACTTATAATTCATATATAAACAGGATTGAAAATTGATCCCCTCCCCCACGTCATCGCTAGAAGTAGGTATACATGGAATCGGTGAAAGACAGAACAAAACAACATCCCGCTGCTGCTGCAGTTTCAGTTCGATTTCAACACAGTTGAATCAACAAACCAAAAAGATTGTTTTTTTTTTAATGCAATGACTTTTCAACATGTTTTCAATGCAAGCACCGTGCTCAAATCGATATGATCTCACACACTTTAATTTAAATCATTAAAAATAAAGACTTTTTTCATAACTACGCATCTGGCCAGCAGAACCAGAATCATCAAATAATAATAATAATAATAAACAAAACAAAACAAAACAAAAAAAAAAACAGACATAAACACACACAAACAAACAAAAGAAACCATGTTACACAACATAAACACTGTTTTCATTTTGAAAATTTGCACAACCTGAGTCCCCTTTTTTTACTGACCGGCAGAAAAAAAAATCAGGAAAACATAGAGCATTAAACTTTGTATCAAAACATGTGTTATCTAAATATTAGCTCTACTTTAAAACTTTTAGCAAGCATGATTTCTACATAGTTAAAATACAAATCATTAATATTAGGCCCAGTGACAGAGAGCAACAGGTGGCTGCCCGTCGGAATGAGGGGATACGTTCATGCAGAAGAAAACATATTCAAACAGAATTTCAATGAACAACAACAAAGAAAAATCAATACTTAATCATTAGTATTTGTTTCATCGTGACTCAGAAGTCAGCATGCCAACATGCGCCCAAATATCAAACTAAAACTGTTACAACTGGGCCCCCCTCGCCCCCCCCCCTTTTTTTTAACAAAACAAAAATAAAATAATAATAACAATGTAACACCATAACACGATAGCATGTATTCCTGTAGGGAGGTTTGGGCAAAGTTCAAAATGAAAACTTTTTAAACCATCATCTAAAAGTGCACTTGAAACACAGCTTGGTGTATTTAAATGCAATTAGATCAAAACAATGCAATCTTCCTTTATTTTCGACACAACTCGCTACAAATGACAGAAAAATAAATCGTAACAAACAATAAATGAAGGTAACACAAAAGAAAAGAAGTTCATCCAGCCTCCTCAATCTTGTTGTGCAGTTGCGTAATATTTACAAGCTCCCTCTGCCCCCCTCCCCCTTAAAAGACAAAAAAAAAACAAAAAAACAATTAAAATCATCATGAAAGCCCCTCGCCAAAAATGGTACTGCACCGGCAGTCCTGTGTTATCTTAAAAAAAGGAAAAGAAATGCAAGAAAAAAAAATGGAGAAGCGCGGATCAACGACATGCTCTTACTATACAGGAGAAGATGAAAGTACAAAATAGAAATTATTACCGTACATGTCCAGCATGCAGGATTAATATTTAATGCAGATTTTTTTTTCTTTCTACATATATTCGAATATAACCAAGCAGGCAATAAATCAATGAAATGTTGCATAAAATGTCACCCCCTTTTCACCCAGACCTCCCCATCCCACCTCCCCCCACTGGTAGACAGGAGCAGAATTTGCATAAAGTGGAGTCACGCTTGTTTGATTTTTCTTTTCTTTTTTTTTTGGGGGTTGGGGGGAGAGAAATTTTGGGGCCCGACTTGCAGACTGTGATGCTTGTGAGGCCAGGCCTGCTTGTTTTTGTGTTCATAAACAGTGTCATGAATTTGCAGAACAACAACAGAAAAAAAAAACAAAAAAAAACTTGTCAACAAAAGACATCCGCCTTGACCCCATGTCTCACTCTTACTTACAGGTTTAAAAAGCTGCAGCCTTGGCGGAGAAGAACAATGTTCATGTGGGGGTCCTCCTCCTCCCCCCCCCCCCCCCCCACGAAGAGTTTCTTCACAACAAGCAACTAATCTACAAAAGATTCAGCAACTGGTCGGGCTCTGCTTCGCTTGTTGCATCTCTGTTGACACGTGGAGGCATCGGTATGATGGTTATATATGAGAATAGTAGCTATCTGATGGATTATTCTTCTAATATGAATATAGTTTCACTGTTATTAGTAACAATCAGACAGGAGGTGCGGGGGTGTGTGGATTATTACTGTCTGTTCATGAGGAGAGTCGGTCAAGGTGCGGTGGAGGAAGGGAGGGAGGAGGGCGAGAGTTTGTTGTGGAAAGGCTGACGGGGGACGACTCACATGAAAAACTCTGGCGATGACGGGTTGTCGCTGGTCGAGCCGGCCTCGCGGAACCCGCTCCCGGCTCCCGACCCCGTCAGCTTCTCGCACTTGAGTTTGTAGGCGTCCCTCTCCCGCGCCAGCCGGCTGATCTCCGCCTTCAGCTGCTCCACCTGGTTCATCAGTTGCGTCTTCTCGTTCTCCAGCACGTGCTTCTGCTGCACGCGCTTGAACCTGCAGGACTGCGCGTAGCCGCGGTTCTTCAGGGTCCTCCTCTTCTGCTTGAGACGGATCACCTCGTCCTTGGTGAAGCCCCGCAGGTGTCTGTTGAGCTCCCGCACCGACATGGACACGAGCTGCTCGTCCGAGAAGCGGTCCTCCACGTTGAGTCCGCCACCGCCGGCGCCGTGGTGCGCGGCCGTCTGGCTCAGGTGGCCGTGCGGGTGGTGGTGGTGGTGGTGGCGGTGGTGGTGGAGCGGCTGGTGGGACTCGGGGGAGACCGGAGACGGGCTGTCGGGGTCCTGGCTGTGGTGGTGGTGGTGCTGGCTGTGTGGATGGTTGTGTCCCCCCGGGTGTCCGGAGAGTTCCTCGGCGTGGTGCGGGAGGCTCCCCGCGTACGGGTGATGATGCTGCTGCTGGCCGTGGCCGTGATGGCTGTGGTGGTGGTGCGGGCCCCTGTAGCCCTCGAAGGCTCCCTGCTGCTGCTGCAACTGCTGCTGGACGTGCGGAGCCTGCGGGTGACCGTGAGCCGTGGCTCCAATCAGGGCCTCCACAGCGTCCTCCGGGGTCAGGCTCAGCGTCTGCGGGTCTATCTGCTGGTGGTACCCGCTGTTCGGCATCCAGTACAGCTCCTCCAAGTGGTGCTTCTGCTCCGTGGGGCTGAAGCTGGGCGAGGAGGGCACCGAGCTGCAGGGAGTGCTGATTGGGGTGGATGAGACGGAGCCCTGGGGTTGGAGGCGGTTGCACTGGCGCACCCCGTTGCGATCCAGCCCGACCAGGCCTTCCTTCTTCACGTCAAACTTCATCAGGTCAAAATCATTGACATATTCCAGAGCCAGAGGGCTGCTGGGCAGCTCCGGGCCCATGCTCAGCTCTGCGCTCATGTTGCTGTCGCGACTCTTCTGCAGATACGCAAAGGTGTTGGCGAGCGTCGCAAACACGGACTTATTAATCAAAGTCTCTTCTCTTCTTTCTTGTTTCATGCAATAGTTCTTTTGGCTCCTCCACAAATCTGCGCTGACTTGCTGTAGCATGAAACACCGTGTGATTGGTGGCGGTGGGGAAAAAAAAGAAGAAAAAAAAAATAAAAGAAAAAGGAGAAAAAAAAAGTTGTGGAGAAAAACTTTGAGACTAATGCTCAGCACGCTGTTTGCGTCATATAGTCTACTTCTGCTGGAGTAATCTGGCAGAAACCGGGCAAGAGGTAGAAAACAGTGCTGCCTCAGTGCAAAAGTAAAAAAAAAATAAAAATACTCAGTCCTTTCAGCAGAAGGGTATTCACGGATAAAAATATCAAGATAAATAATAATAATAATAATAGAAGAAATACCAGGTTTGCGCGCTGAGACGGGCACCAGTCCACGTCGCACCTTCTCGGCAATAAGTCCCCTCTTTTTTTTCTCCAGGAAAATAAAAAAAAGGAGCCAGGAAGCGAAGTAAACAGGACGTCTGTTTCCCCTTTCTTCTTTTTTCTTTCTCGCCGAGAAGCTGCTTTTTCAGCTCTGCACCGCAGAGGTTTAAAGACTCGCCTCTCTCACACTCTCTCTCTCTCTCTCTCTCTGTACTCTCTGGTATCCAGCAGACTGCGCTCGGAGCCAGCCTACCCTTTATCAATCTAGCGCACGGTGACGTCATGTGGAAGGCGGGATCCGTGGCGACCGGCGCTCCAATAGGGGAGAGAACCAAAGGATGAAAAGGGAGGTGGAGGGACGCGGCACAGGAAAGGGAGAGAGAGAGAGAGAGAGAGAGAGAGAGAGAGAGAGAGAGAGAGAGAGAGAGAGAGGAGGTGGAGGCGGCTCTCGGTCGAGGCTTGAAAGCCAGAGACAGTCAGCTGACCGAGTTCCCTAAAAGCAGAAGGTGGAGTGGGAGGACAGAGGAAGAGAGACATGCCTTCACTTCATGGAGTCTTTTCTTCTTCACTGGTTCTTAAATTCATGCCAGGGACTTACAGGCTTCAGTGAAAAAACAAAAACAAACAAACAAAATGAAGACTAATGTTAAATGTTTCCCCTCCATCCTGAGAGACTGTCCTTGTGTTATTGACCAACTGGAACCGCAAAAGAAACATCTGTGACATATTTACCTTCCAACGTGTCTCGATTTGTGCTTTGAGAACATTCAGAAACAATAAACAGTTTTTTCTTCTTCTTGAGTTTCATGCGCACCATAGTTATTACATCCATCTCGACATTTTGAAAAGTCTTTGTTTCCTCCAATAAAGATGATCGAGACTGTGCAACACATTAAAATGCTTGCATGCCAAATCCTGAATCCACTCTCTCTCAAACAGACGCACATCTTTTTGGAGTTTTTTTTTTTTCTGTCTTCACACAAAGTGAAGACAGCTTTACTTTCACGATTAAGAGAAACAATGCAATAAGAGACATTATAAACTATAATAAAACACCATACTGACCCCTCCCCCCTTCCCCCCCGCTTCTTAATTATTCTCAAAACGAACTTTCTAAATCCAGATTATCATTATCGCCAAATATATTTGTTAATCCGCGTTAAACCGCGGTTTCAAACTCCCCCTGAAAGATGTTATTGCTTCGAAACGCTGCTGGGTTGGCCCGTGATTTTCACACGGAGTTGAATCGAACTGAATGCAGAGGAAACAGGCTCAAGGCTGCCGCTGCGTGGACAACACGGGCACGAACGACGCTGCGCGGGAAGATGCTGCTGCTGCTGCTGCTGCTGCTGCTGAGGATGGAGATTTCCTCTGATGTTTTCCAGTCTATTTTTTTAAAAACTCAGTGCTAAATCCGTCTCTTAAAGGTCACATCCTGCCTTTAAAACTGCTAACGATCAATCTCGGTCATTTGAAATTCAATCAAAATATATTATTTTATTTTTTATTTTTATGTCGCTTCTACTGCTTAACAGGTTGTTTGTCCAAAATAAGAGTTTTTATTAGATAAATATTTTTTTTTAAATTTTCATTATTTTAATACAATTTGATTTAAAAAATCACTTCGACAAAAAAAAAAAAAACTAAAAAAAAAAACAAATGGCAGAAATATTGGAAAACGTTTGACTTCCTTGCCAAAAAAAAGAAGAAGAAGAAAAAAAGCAAGTGTGAGTAAATGAGCCAATTTAAAGGATCAATAGGATTTATAATTTCGTTTCCAGCCCATATTCACGGCTGAGCACGAGCGCGATCAGATGGTATCGATCAGACGGGGTGCAGGAGGAGGCTGCCAAAGATAAGAGCCCATAACGAAGGACTCATTTGTTCAGCTTAAATTCTTAATCGTTTTGAAGTAGTGAGTCTCCGCGTGACTCCACAGTCACACCCAAGGTTTTTGTTTAGCCTCGTTTAATTCAGGACTGATTTGAATCTAATAGACACTGAAAGTAGAGAAGATAAATATCAAATTACAAAATGCAATAGCAAATTCCGAATAATAATAATAATAATAATAATAATAATAATAATAATAATAATAATAATGATAATGTTTTTATCAGTCATAATAACTAATAATTAACTTCACAACCGCCATTATTTTTAGCTGTTGGGAGTTATTTCCATCCATTCTCAGCCATACTTTTGGCCTCTGATCATTTGTGACAGTCACTTCGTACAATGTTTCACTAACAGACTATCCATGTCATCATCGTCAAGCTCAACTGCGCATTTTTGTCTCTTCCTTCCTTTTTTTTTTCTTCGCAGTATTAAAAAACCTCCTAAAATCTCCCTCCATCTGCAGGCGAGCTTCCCCAGCTTGCAGCACCAACCTGAGAAGCGCCCAGAGCGCAGCGAGTTTTGCCGCCTTCTCCCTGCGAGGCCGACCCGGCGGCAGCCCCATTAGGTCATAATGCTCTCTCATATAACCCGAGTCCGCCGTCTAATAGACCCAGGCAGGCCTGCCGGCGGCTCTCTCTCTCTCCACCCGCCCCTCCCCGGTAATCACAAGCTGTAATGGAGAGACGAGATGTAAAAAAAAAAAAAAAAGCGTCTATGTCAGCAGCATATCGGTGGTTAATGATCTATTAAGTGATCCGTGTGCTTATGGACAGCGAAAAAAAGTGTTGATGCTTGCTTATTCGGCCCCTAATGAGAGTCCCATCCTACGGATTTTAGGAATGAATAACAGAAATAAAATCAACCTTTGAAATGTTACATTTAACAGTTGACGCACGGAGGCTGGAGAGGCAGCTCCCCACTGCTCACACGTCTCACACCTGCAACGGGCCCCGCTGGAGTCACGCAGGAGGCCCGCAGTCCTGTCCGTCTGAACCGGTCGAATACAGGACGGCGACGTTCGTCCTTCATATGCGAGGATTTGTTTTTTATTTTTAAATTCCGTTTAAGGACTAATTCAAACCTGCGCACCCGCATGCCATGGATCTGAACTCAAACTTTGCTGAAGGACAAACTTAACAAAGGAATTATTTTTGGGGGCCAGACTGAGATGGATTTTTTTTCCCCTTTCTGTTTATGGCTTTTGGCAGTTTCGGAGTAATAATCGACCTTAACTGTTCCACCCCGAAGGTTCCTGGAAATGTTACAGAACAAAACGGTAGTGGATGGTAGCCTCCGAGAGGCCCGTGAGAAGGGAGGGTGAGGAATGGTGATGCAGCCTCGTTGTGCCGCTTTGATGCGCTTTGACGCAGGAGGGAGTGGAGAGATGCGCAGAGCAGAAGCGCTCTTCCAAAAGCGCAGCGACTACTTTCAGCAATGTGTGTGTGTGTGTGTGTGTGTGTGTGTGTGTGTGTGTGTGTGTGTGTGTGTGTGTGTGTGTGTGTGTGTGTGTGTGTGTGTGTGCGTGTGGGGGTGTGTATGTTTAAGCTGGGAAAAGTTAGAAATCAAGTGACACTGCTGCAACTTTGAGCTTTTAGTTTGTAGGCTGCGTTTTGGTTTATTGTAAATAAATAAGTTTCCCCCGCATTAGTTTCTGCTCATTAATTATTTATAGCGAATAACTTTCCAGTTACTCCTAAACATGTGTACTGTAGCCTATCCCAGTTCCGTGATCCAAGAGAATCGCAGCAGAATCAGGAATAATTCAATGATAATTATTATTTGCAAACAGGTCGTGATGAACCCTATTTGTTTTTTCTCTCTTGAAAACAAAATATGCACGAGTACGCATCAGTAAGCTGCTTTCTCGATTTACAAACCGAGTTACTTAAATAGACTCCGCACTAAACGATTGTCTCTTTGAAACATATATTATTAAGACGTGCTGTGTGCTTAAACGTGCAGAGATTGTTGAAGGTTTAACAACCTCATCATGGATAACTGAAAGAAAAAGTGGTGATAAAACTGAGATACATTGCACATTTATGTATATTTTGTTTGTTCCTTTTAAAGAGCATCAATTTAACACTGTGAACATTTAACTTTTTTTTTTAATACTCACCTTTTCATAAGCACCGGCCTCTGATTGATTCTGGGACTTCTTTGCATAGGTGGGGCTAGTCCCACTCTTACCATCCATTCTGTAAAAAAAAAAAAAAAAAAAAAAAGTAATTGCATGTGTTGGCAAGGAAAAAAGTGGGTTTCTTTTCTGGTGACAGGGCGCCTCTTGTGGCGCTTCCACTTAATGCGCAAAGTTAGATTTGGGTCTTATTCAGTGACATGCAGGGATTCAGTTCCAACCTCTGAACAGGATGTTTTTATTTATTTTTAATTTTTTATTATTTTTATTTTAGTCCTGAAATGGCAAACAGACACAAGGAATATATAAAGTTGATTGGAAGGCCAGGGCATAATTGTAGGCCCTTTTCTTAGATTAGATGTCCCTGATTGACATGTAGTAAATATAACAACAAATAAATGTCAGTGGGCACTGTACTGGCTTAATCCCAGAAGAAAAAGGACAATAAATCTGCCTTTTGCTGTGGTCATTTCATTAATGTAAATTGCAATGCTTTGTATGATAGTTTGGCTCCCTTCCAGCTGGCTCTTTGCTCAGGCTTGTGCATGATATTAGGTTTTATTATGAACTGACACAGTGTGGCCACAAAATGTAGGCAACACCACAAGAACCAAATATCAGAGTGCAGGCATAACATAATTAAAGGCCATATTCTCGGTCATAACCACAATTTATATCTGTGTTTCTCTAAGCCAAGGATTGGCTTCTGGAACTCAAAAGAAACTTATGATGTACTGAAAACGTAATTAGAATCAATTTTTACTCACACTTTCATGTTTCCGCGAAGGAAACAGAAACAACTCTTCCACATTCTACCCCAAAATCTCCGTGACCTGTCACCATTTGTGGACATTTTCTGTGCATGAATCTGTCAGGCCATATCTCTGGGTTACATTAAAGAGGGTTCAATGAATATTCTGGAAAACATGCGTCACCCGCAGCAGAGCCCATACAGCACCTGGATGTTATTAAGCTAAAAGTAAAGAGAGAGATTTAATAGGCTTCAAATGGCTCTGTCCAATATCTGAAGATATGTCTTTGCTGTCAAGCATGCGACACATTAATGTTTATGACTGAAATTACTTTGTTCTCACTGTCTGCTGTGAATGCAGGAATAGGGCTGCTTATGCAAAATCTATAGCAGGAACTACAGCTTCTGCATGAGCAACCCACGTTTCC